CTTCACATCCTGGTTAAAGGGACTATAAGTCCCCAGTTCTTAAGTCATCTTAAGTTTCCACTAATGTTGTCTTTTGACTTAAAAAAAACACTTCATTATGGAGTTTGCCTTGTTAATGTTTCCCTTCACCATATTCTACAGCTTCCTCAATGTGAAATGTCCAACACATGCAGGACCACATCCCTGCATGTGACCAAACCCACTCATTAAATATAAGTAACTCAGCTACTCCACTCCACTCTCTGATGGACACAGCCCCACTACTGCAGAGCTGTCATTTAAATGCTCCAAGTCACTGGCTCACGGTTTTTCATGTGCACCTGCAGTGCCCACATCTCTGTGCTTTCTAGCTTTGTCCCCTCTATCAAGGCTCTCAAGTTAATATTTAAATTAAACAGCTGGAAATTCCTAATAAACTAACTGGTTCATACATAGGAACCCTGCAATATTACTCAGTTCTGGTGCTAGATAAACTCACATCACCGGGCACATTTTGGACAGATAGATAAACACAGAAAAGTCAACTGGGGCCTCCACATTGGCTACTAGGTGATATATGTCCAAATTATGAAAACTCTGACATGCACTCCCCTAGCATCGTATATGATTGGTTAGGGGTGCAGATACAGGTTTTTTTCTGATCGGTCTTATGTTGAAAATAGGGGGAAAACTAGGGAGGATCAGTTATTAATGAAATCGTGGCTATTTGGGGCCGACTCTTAGAGAAGTCACTGTTTAGCTTCCTGGACTGTCACTAGAGCTCGTAATCTGGCTTCCGGCCAAATAGGACAGAGCGGACTGGTTTCCTGGGTCGCTAACGGTAGGTAAGGGGTCAGTTTCCTGGGCCGGCAGCTCCAAGTTTTGGGTCAGAGCTCTACTTTTAAATACGGTCTGCCAATTGTCAGATCACGTGGATATTCAGGCTCTCTCTGTATATTCTGTTCTAAGGCTGGCGATCAAGACAGTGACAAGCCTTCTCCGCTCGTCTTACACAAACACAACTCAAAGAGAAATCGAGCACCTCTCTCGACTTCCAGCCCGCGCAGGAGCCCCGTCCGCAGCAGAGAGGCGGCAATACCCAAAACATCGTCCACTCACCTGCGCAGGGTCCGTCCACGCCGCCGCCATCATGGGACCCCGTGCACAGAGCGGGGCCCGGAGAGGCAGCGACACAGGCGAGTCCCGCGGGCTCGGCCAACCGCCACCCCTCCCCTACTCCGGGAGGGGTGACCTCGGCTGACTCTCGCACTCCCCGGTCACCGGGTAGCTCACGGCTCCTTCAAAGGCGCGGAGGCAAGTGGTAGCCTTCCTTCAGCTCTTTTTCCCCAGAGCTTCCCTGGAGGCGGGTCACAGAACAGCGATCCCCTCCCCACAGCTGGCGTGGACGGAACCGTCGCACACGAATGACGTGCCCCACCAGGAGACCGGAAGCCCCGCCCCCACCCGAGCGGACGCCCGGTGCACAGCCTTCTGGGCAATGTAGTTTTTGCTTTACAAACGAGCCGCAGAAGAACGTGTTCCGGCGCCGGTCTTCCTCGTCCTAAAAGACTTATCAGGCCCAGAGCTCGCTGTCAGACCCGCCTCTTCACAGCGAACACAACGCGGGGTGGACCGAGGAGAAAGGGCGAGGCCGTCCCTCTCATGCCCGGGTAAGTCGAGGCTCAGGGAGCGGGGACCTGCGACCGGGGTCAGGGCACGTGCCAGGTCCCGTAACCGGCTTCTCGGCTCGGCTGGTGAGCTCCCCCGTGCGCCTCTCCTCCTGGCGATCGTCCTGGAGCGAAGATGGACGCTCGAGCGGTGACGTGACCGCCGAGACCGGGACGCAGGAAGCCCGCTGCGACGCGGCGCACGCGCAGCGCACGGCCCCTCCTGGGCCGCCTCTGGTCCAGCGCCACGTGCTGCGGGGCCTTGACGCCTGGAGGCGGCCCCGGGAGCCCGAGGAGCGCTGTGCGAGCCTCTGAGCTGGGGAGGCCGCACCTGAGCGAGGCTGGGGGCAGGTCGGGACTCCAGTCTGGAGCGTGGGCACTTCCAGCTGTGTCTGCGCGCCGGCAGAGGGGTCGTGCGTGGATACGGAAATTTCGGGCATTGTTAGCAGATGCTGCCATCTCAAGGCAACACGAGAGTGAGACTAGATGGAGAAAGGAATGGACAGGGGCGAACCCTGAACCAAGCCGGCATTAAGTAGCTGCAGACAAGAAACCAACAAAATAATGTTAGGAATGCTAACATTCCTTTCAGATTTATATTCGGCAAAATCTTACAAGTCACCATCAGTGACTTATTTAGTTTTCTTCTCATGACTATGAAAGTGAGAGAATAAAATCTCACTTCTAATGAATTGAGAATCCATACGGTTATGAAAATGGAAACAGTATGCCGAAAATGCCAAGAGATTTATTTTGTGGAATATTACTCAGCCACGAGAAAGAATGAAATTTTGCCATTTGTAACAACATGGATGGAGCTGGAGTGTATTATCCTAAGCAAAGTAAGTCAGAGAAAGACAAATACCATATGATTTCACTCAGATGTGGAATTTAAGAACCAAAACAAACGATCATGGGGGGGAAAAAAGAGGAAAACTAAGAAACACTATTCACTATAGAGAACAAACTGATGGTTGCCAGAGGAGAGGTGGATGGGGGCATGGGTTCAGTAGGTGATGGGGATTAAGGAGTGCACTTTTGATGAGCATTGGGTTATGTATGGAAGTGTTGAATCACTATATTGTACACCTGAAACTAATATTACACTGTATGTTAGCTGAAATTTGAATAAAAACTAAAAAAAATTTTTAAAAAAGTGGAGAAAAGCATAGTGATTGAATCAAGGATTAAAATGCAGTTAATTTCCTAGAAGAAGATGCTTTTTATAAAAGGAGGTTGTGGAGAAGTGTGGCTTAATTAGCACACAAGGAACAGTGTGATCCACCATTGAGCATAGTAATTTGACCGAATTGGAAAAGACATTCTTCTTTTCACATGGGGTTGACACGGTTAAATTAAATGGTTTGAAGGTAGGATGTACGTCAGATATCAAAGTTAAGATTTTTATATTCTGTGTCATGGGCGGCACAATGTCCGGAATCAGTGGTGAGGAAAACTGTGTAGCTATTGGAGACTTTGAAATCCCTACTTTACCGTAAAGCATGTCTGAGAGTTTTCGTAATTTAGACATATATCATCTAGTAGTCAATGTGGAAGCCCTAGTTGTCCTTTGTCTGCTTATCTACCTCCCCAAAAATGTGCCGGGTGATGTCAGTTTATCCAGCACCCAAACTGAGTAATATTGCAGGATTCCTATTACAAACCAGTTAGTTTATTAGGAATTTCCAGGTGTTTAATTGAAATACTGATTCAAGGGGCGCCTGGGTGGCTCAGACGGTTAAGCGTCTGCCTTCGGCTCAGGTCATGATCCCAGGGTCCTGGGATCGAGCCCCACATCGGGCTCCCTGCTCAGCGGGGAGCCTGCTTCTCCCTCTGCCTCTGCCTGCTGCTTCCTCTGCTTGTGTGCTCTGTCAAAAAAAAAAAAAAAATTGAAATACTGATTCGAGAGCACTGATAGGACAAAGCTAAAAAGCACAGAAATATGGGCCCTGGAGGTGCAGATGAAAAACCATGAGCCAATGTCCTGGAGCATTTAAATGACAAATCTGCAATAATGGGGCTGTCCATCAGAGAGTGGAGTAGCTGAGTTACTTAATTAGTGGGTCTGGTCACATGCAGAGATGTGGTCTTGCATGTGCTGGAAATTTCACATTGTGGAAGCCATGTAGAATATGGTGGAGTAACATTAACTCCATATAAAATATGGAGTTCGGAAACAGTGGTGAAGGCAATGCCTGCGATGAGCAGAAAACATGTTTAAGCTCCCAACTGTGTCTAGATGTTTATTCTGGTGCTGTCAGCTTATCATGGATGGAGTAGCTGACACATGCAGCTATAACAGGATACAGGGAAAAGTCAGAAGAGAGTTCCCTAAATTGCTGAAAGTGGAGGATGTGATTTCAGAAGATGTGGTGTTACATTTATTATTAGGGATGACTTATTTGATGCAATCAGAATATGACACACCACGGAGGTGCTAGTGAATTCATTTGAGAATTGAGTGGCATTGATGTGCAGTGAAACATTTTGTCTCAGAGACATGCTGGATGTCAGTACAAAGAGGGTGGACCTCCGGGTTGATCAGAGTCCTGGTTTACAAATGGCATACTCCTGAAAACACGGCGAATAGTAAAATGAGTCTAGAAGAAATGTGATAGGTGGTAGGTTGTACACCACCAGGGTGGTTGTCTGCACAAAGCAGTAACTAGTTTTCAAGGTGAGTAGAGTCACCATCCTTGGGGACCAGGGGGGACATCATCTTGGGACACTCTCATGGGAAAGAGTTTCTACAAGAAATAGACTCTACCCAGTCACATAACTGCATAGTCAAATAACTCTAAATAACCGGTACAAAATGATTCAGCTTTTATTAATTAGCATCTTGCATCTTAGAAGAAACAAAGGACAGGTAAGATAGTGGAGCCAGGAGAGCTCCCTGGACAAAGACAATAAAACAGGTGCAGACAGGGCTCAAGAAGCCATCTGAACAGACGGAGGCAACACCCTCTGAGAGTGGGCCCGGACCCAGGGGTGCTCCAGGATCTGGGCCAAGGGCAGCCGCTCCGAAGGCTGGTATCTGAGAAGCTTGGAGATCAAGTCCTGGGCCCCCAAAGGTAATGATGGGGGAAACCTTACATCTACCTGATGAGGCCACAGAAGAAAAAAAGAGAACATGGTTAATTTCTGTGCCGCATGCTTTCTCCATTCCTTAAGACCCTTCAAAGCACTGTTCTGGATCTTTTTGGACAACCTTTGTGTGCATCCCAGGCTCTGCAGGCCTGGCTCCCTAGTGAGTGCCCAGAGTGTAGCCATCCTACCTTGAGGATGCGTCTGTAGGTCTCATTATGGGAAGGGCTCTCAAAGGGTGGATTTCCCACTAGCAGCTCATAGCACAGCACTCCAATGCACCACAGATCAACCTTCTCATTGTATGTTCTCCTTTCAATCATTTCTGGGGGCAAGTAGTCCAGAGTCCCACACATTGTCTTTCTTCTAGAGGACAGCAGGGAAGAGAGCACTGTGTAGAAGCCAAGAACAAGGGTAACCCTCCTTTTCTATATTCCAGTGAGATGGGAGACCCTAGAAAGTCCGAGCAGTCCCCTCCTGAGCATGGGAGTTTGGAAACACTAAGTTTTAATAAGGATCCTTAGGGAAGGCAAATACTGGAACCCACCAATTCCATATTTTGGAATTATTCATAAAGTTATGTGGCTCCCGATCGAGGATGTTTTCAGAATATTTTGGGCATCAGTAGAGATTTTGAACAAACTGATGGTGCATCAAGACGGACCAAGTAAAATTCCTGGAGTTATGGAGCAATGATTCTTACTTACATGGAAACTTACTGAGAAAGTTACATGTTAACAGAGATCAAAAGATAAAAGATAAGGTTGAGCCACATTCTTTCAGTCTACAAATGCACATTAAATATATGCATATGAAAAAGGCAGTACTCAAATACAAAACCAAATTTGTATCTGGGTCTTACACATGGAATGCATGAAATTGGATCATTCCTAAGTGGCACCCAGGGCCCATGCCGCCATACCTACCTCAGAGATGGGGTGTGCACCGACCAGCCAAAGTCTGCAATCTTCACCTCACCCTTGAACCCCAGCAGTAGGTTCTCTGGTTTAATATCCCTGTGAATCACCTTTTTCTCGTGGCAGTAGGTCAGAGCATCTGCCAATTCCTCCATTATCTGAGTGAGCAAAGAAAAAGCCATCAGGAAATGAAGCCCACCACAATTTCATATGAGATAAAATATTCATGCATTTTATAGTTGTAGTGGAATCTTTTATTTCCTTTTATTTCCTGTTTACCGACCCTGTTGTTTCCTTAATGGCACCACAGTTTTTGGTGGGGGAGGGATTCCTCTCCCCATTTTGTGTGGTCTTATAGGATGGATGATAAAGTGGCCAGAACCTCCATTTTGCCTTAGAACAGCGAGTAGCTGGACACAGGACCTACGCTGAGCTAAACAGATGATCTCCCACAGGATTTGACACCTGAAGAAATGATACAAAAGCAGGAGGAAAATTGCAAGATCACTCATTCTGACAGCAAGCTGACCCAACCCTTCTGCTGGGATAATTGTTGCTCTGATTCCCCATCTGGAGCCCTCTAGAAATCTCTTGCTTCCTATAAGCCAATTCCACTCACTTATTCAGTGAACTCCTTCATAGGACTTCAACATGCTTTTCTGCATAAGGTAGTGGAGTTAGATTGTCTGGCTTACACTAATTATTAATATTCTGGGGTAATTAGGGTATCAAACTGTGAAGTTATGGGCTGTATGTGTCATTATATAAAAGGTATAGAATTCATGGGCGCCTGGGTGGCTCAGTTGGTTAAGCGACTGCCTTCGGCTCAGGTCATGATCCCGGAGTCCTGGGATCGAGTCCCGCATCGGGCTCCCTGCTCGGCAGGGAGTCTGCTTCTCCCTCTGACCCTCTTCCCTCTCGTGCTCTCTATCTCTCATTCTCTCTCTCGAATAAATAAATAAAAAAATCTTAAAAAAAAAAAGGTATAGAATTCAGAAACAAACAAACAAAAAGAACCTGGACAATAATGACAGCCACAAGCAGTGGCACCCCCCCCCCGTCCCCCCGCCAACCAGTCCACAATAAACTCGGGCCTCAGAGCCCCCAGGCCCCTGCCTCACCGTGGCTGTGTGCTGTTCATCTAATGTGTGGCTCTTTTGCAGCTCCTTGTAGAGCTCACCCCTTGGAGCATATTCCAGAATCAGGTACACACGGCGTGCGTCATGGAAATAGTTGTACAGACGTAGGATATTGGGGTGTCTGGAGAAGAGACAGAGGAAGGGTCAGACTCATAAGACCCAACTCCTGATGCTATCACAAGTGACTGGTCACACAAAGGGCAAACTGTGCTGGGACCAGAATAACAGCAGCCTGATACTGGAATGTGTGAGAGAACAGGAGCAGGCATCAGGGTTTTGGTGTCTGAAACAGGGACGATTACATGGTGTAAGTGGAGTGAACTGCAGAAAAAAATCTTCAAGGTGGCCTGTTTGAGGGTAGTTTGGGGGAAATGCTGGGCTCAGATGCCGGAGATGGAAGAGAAAGCAGAAGAGCAAGAAGCCAGTGCCGGATTCGCCTACAGGCTGTCCTTACTGTAGATGCGCCTGGATTTCAATTTCCCTGCGCAGTTGGTGCTCCAGTCCTTCCTTTTCTATCTGGGACTTGAAGAGGACTTTCAGGGCCACGATAAAATGGCTTTCCTTGAGCCGAGCCAGGTACACATTCCCAAATTTTCCCTTGCCCAGAGGACGCCCGATTTCAAAGTCCTCAATTGTGAGTCGCCGCCTGAGAGCAAAGGAAGGAAAGAGCCTCAGGCTGGGAGGTAGGTGGGGGGCCATCAGGGGCTGTGAATGCTCACCTTCCCCTTCCACTTAACCCCACCTCTGCCCCTCGCCCTTCTCGGGCACAGCCAGGCTGTCTGGTCCGCGAGCCAACACGGAACACGTGCCGCTCGCTCTTCCTTTCTCTCCCCGCCCCCTTCCCCCTCCCGAGACAGCGCCGGGGACACTCACACGGGCGGGATGCGGAGCTCCACGCAGCCCGCTGCAGCTGCTTGAGACAGACGGAGGTCGGCGCTTGCTCCTGCGCACCCTCCCGCCCCAACCACGGACACCAGCCCTTCGCAACCTTTTCTCTGGTCCTGGGTCCTCGCCCCTTCACCTGCGGGCCCGACACCGCCCGGCTTCATCACAGCGTGCGGGGGGCCCCCGGCAAGAGACGACGGCGACGGGACAGCCTCCGAGCCCTTTGGAAACGTCCTGAGAAGGCGTGAAGGTAGGTGATATTCAGGCTGACGCTCCTCGGGTGCCGACCGGCCCCGACGCCGCCTGCACTGACGCCCCAGGGGGTTCCCCCGCTGCTCGCCGCCTCGGACGCGCGGAGACCAAGGCAAGCCCCGCGAGCCGGGGCCGGGGCCTTTATCCTATCGCCCCTCATTGGCTGAGCCAGCACTTCCTGATTGGCTCCCATTGGTTGAAACTTCGGAGCGAGCAGGCAGCGTGCCCAATAGAAGAGACAGAAATGGGAGCTTCCGCACACGCTTAGCCAATGAGATTGCAGGGCGCGGGGACCCGCGGGTCGCTGGGGAGGGGCGGGGCGGGGCGGACACCAGGAGCTGGGGCCTCGGGAAGGGGGACCAACGGAGGGCCGCCGAGAGGGGACGGTGCGAACGGGTCTCCGAGAAGGAATGCCTACAGAAACCCGTGAGTGCGCGAATCCGTTAATGAGCTGGCGTGGTGCACGTGGGAGTGAACAGACACCCATCGCAGGAAGCTGCCGGGGTGCCCCCGTGAAGTCGGAAACCGCGTGCGCGCCGCCCCGCTTGAAGGGCACGTGCGGTTTGGGCCCCTCTCCGCGCCCCGGGAGTTCGGCCTCCTCGCCCGACGTCCCGCAGCTCTTGCGCTCCGCTCTGCAGCCCACAGCCCCGGAGCCTCGCCCAGCCTCGGACTGCAGGCGCATCCGGCGCGATGGCACAGCCTAGTCACCCCTTGCCTCCGTGTATGTGTTGGGCCAGCAAAAAAATGGGTTTATTTGGACATAACAGAGAATTACAGTGAGGGACAGGGAAGCTACAGCAAACACCACAGGCTAGTCCCTTAAACATAGGAGAGGAACACTATTTTATGGAGAAGGAAATTTGGGAGCAGTTGTGAAGCAAAGGCCATTGGAGAAAAGCAACAGATTAGTAAAAGACAGTTTCCCATTGGTTGAGTTTCAGGGGTAGTCTGTTGCTTGTACATCTTTTCTCCTTGGGGCCTATAATTGATGGTTCTTTCCTGTTGAGGATTCTTCTGTTGAGGTCTGTGATTGACATCCCTAGGCGGCATGTAAGAGCCCCGCCCCCCCGCCGGCCTCCTGACTCCATTTTAGTGAAATTCCCTTTTATTTTCACAGACCCTGTAATCAGTTTGCATTTGGGGTCTCAAATAGTAAAATCAATCCACATGTCTATTTGGCAAATAACAGATGTTTCAAAAAGTTTTAAATGGAATTCTTTTAGACAGGTAACAATATAAATTGTTGGAGAAATAGAATTTAAAAAGAAAAAATCTTCTCCCAACCCAGAAAACCTCTCCACAAAGATAGTAGAGAAAAAAGTTTATTACCAAATAAGGCTTAAACCAGAATTTGATGCCATATCACAGATAATCGCTGAGAGATGGCAAAGTCAGAAAGATACCCTTTCATATTAGCCAAGCAGATACTGGCTTTCTCAGTGTCTCCCATTACATATTTTCAACATGGACAATAATTAGCCCTCAAGTAAGAAACCATGACAGCACCACTTGTTATGCAATTCATCCTAAATTTACCTAGTAATTGGGCTGCCTACCTGCTGCTACATTGGCTTTCTGTACGGGAAAACAAACTTCTCATTACCTGAGGGTAGAAGGTAGTGTTAACCTTAAACATAAAAGTTATTTTCCCAGCAAAAATGGGTTTATTTGGAAATAGGATACAATTGCAATTAGAGACATGCAGGCTATGGTAAAACCATAGGCAAATCCAACAAAGAGGAAAGTTATTTTATGGAGGAGGAGTAAGTTGGGACGGTTGTTTTGAACAAAATCCTTTAGGGAAGAGCAACAGTTCAAGGTGATGAGAGTTTCTCAGTGGCAGAGTTGCAGGGATGGTTGATCTGGTGGGAAATGCGGTGTCCATATTTCCCTGATGGGGCCTGTAACTGACAATTCTTCCTGAGATTGACGGAGTGGTGCTGTGTGAGAGGTCTCCCTTCTTGCCTCCCAGCTGTTTTATTTGTTTAATTTTTAAAGATTTTATTTATTTGACAGAGAGAGACACAGCGAGAGAGGGAACACAAGCAGGGGGAGTGGGAGAGGGAGAAGCAGGCTTCCCGCCGAGCAGGGAGCTAGATGGGGGGCTCGAACCCAGGACCCTGGGGTCATGACCTGAGCCGAAGGCAGATGCTTAATGACTGAGCCACCCAGGTGCCCCATCCAGCTCTGTTTTAAATGAGGTTTCCCTTAATTTTCAGTTTTGCAACTTGGAGCAAGGTGCCCCAAAATTAGGCCTCTACTTTCCCACAGAAATTGGGAGATAGGGATGCTATCTCCCTTGATGTTTGCATTTCAAAGAGATAGCTCCTAGGTCTTTTGAGAAAGACATTCCTGGGGTGGGAGAGCATGGGGTGCCTGAGAAAAAGCAAGAAGGCTAGTGTGTCTAGAGCTGCAACTGCAGGGGTTCAAGTGGGACGAGAGGAGTTAGAAAGATAAATGGAGACAAATTGTGTAGAACCTTGTCAGCCTTTGTAAGGAGGTTGTAATATGCTCCAGAATGTGTTCTAAAATGTTAATTTTGTTTAATCAGGTATTTGTTTAATCAGGTATCATAAGGCAGCAGACCTGGAAGTGATTGTCATGAAGAAAGTTTATGCTCACAGATCCCCACAAAGAAGAGTCAGGGAATGCTACCGATGGGAGATTCTGCATTGTATGAATGGAAATCTTGGTTCTTGGATTCCCCATGAAAGATTTATATGGGGATCCACTCTCAGACAGCCAGAAGGAAGGTAGCACGCACAAAGCAGTTTATTAAGGACAGTACACTGTCAAGGTGGGAGAGCAGGCAGGCGCAGAGGTGACAACTGCCCTGAGGTTGCAGAGATCCACGGAGGGGGTGGTCTCTAGTGGAGGCTACTTCCAGTCATTTGGGGGACTCTTCCCACTGGTTGGGAGGGGGTTTTTGACCTTACAAGGTTTGTACCAGAACCCTCTTGGCAACCTTCGCCCCATGGGGGAGGGGACAAAACTGCAATGAAAATTTACTGGAACGATCTACAGGTCACCCCGGTGCAGAGGTGGAAGAGGAGAGCACAGGTTCAGCACCTGTGGCTCTTGGTCTGTCACCCCTGGGGTGTTGGAAGTCAGTCAGTACGTGTGACCCCAGGCTTCTAATGTGTAACCTATTTATCACCACCCTTATCTCCACCTCATGTCTGTCTTATTGTATCAGGCATACCATACAAGGCAGTATGGGGAGGCAGCAGCTGTGATGGAGAAAGCATGGCCCAGCACATTTATTGTGTATTTTGCAGGAAAGGCAAGGCAAGACATGTAAACAGTTTAGGACTGACTTGTTTGAATACAATGTAGGGACTTTGGAGCAAACGGATCACTCCCTGTCTGGTACCTGGCCCTGGAGTTTTAGGGTAGAGGAATGCTGCCTCTTGGAGTTTAGGAGCCAGAGAGAGGCGGTTAGTTTGCATATGAAAAGTGAGGTCCTGAAAGAGTTGTTACCTAGTCCAGGGAGGGGCAGTGTCTCCCCAGTCAGCAAGGCCCTAGATGCCAACCACAGAAAACTAAAAATATATAGTTACTGCACTGTGAAATAGACAACCATCCGGGGGGTTTTGAGCTGAATGGTAATGTAATCTGATTCGTGAATTAAAAGATCAGTCTGGGTATTGTGTGGAAATTAAACTATAGGAGGGGCAAGAAAAGGTAAGATCTGTTAGGCTATTTTCCAGATGGGTGAGGACGCTGACTTAAATTAAGGTAGTGACAGGGGAGGTGGTTTATCACAAAGTACAAACAGTTGACCAGAAGGGAATTTTGTAAATTCGATAAATTTACTGTAACGATCAAGTTACAGTTATCAAATTAGTAAGTTATCAAATTAGTAGAGAAATATGGATATGAATGTAATGGTTTCACAGTATGGATTGTTGTTATTTTAACCTACCCATACCCCACACTGCCTCCTTCATATGGTAAGCAGATTTCTGACGATACTGAAGTGCACCTTCACAGAAATGCTTTACTACATAGAGATGCTCAGG